CCTTCACTGGCCAACTGGCATCCTCTGAATTGGTGTTGTTTGTGACAGGCAGGATGGTAGTGCCAGACAAGTGTGAGGGGAGCAAAGGTGCGTTGCCACAGGTTCCTGGACACCCTGGCAACCCTTGCGCAAGCAGAGGATCGGCACAATGGCAGCGCTCACCCATGTTCGCCCGCACTGAGCAGCAGCACTGCTTGCCCAGTTTGCACTGGTGCTGTGTGAGTATATGTATCGTATATTACACTGTTTATATAGCTAGTATTCTGCAATGATATTTAAATTTTCATTCATTCACTCATATCCACCTAATCAAGTCAGTACTATAAGATGGTTTATGCCTGCCCTACCAAATATACTAGATAGTGGTTCCCTGCATATACGGCTAGTTTCCAGACATTCTGGACCCAGGGTGGATCCATTTGCGACCAAACATGGTCACTATGTGGCGCTGATCCGGGAACCAGCCCAGTAACACATGTATCCACCGAGGATTTTCCGGCTGTGTCACAGCTGGGAGCCTGTTGGCGGTGTATGTCACCATTCAGCCACTGGATAGCCGAGATTACTGATCTGAGTAGCAGAAGATCTCCTCATGTGCAGAGCCAAGGCGCACCAGGCCCCAGCTACACCCTTTTGGTAGCCTTCCAGCGACCATGACACAGCCTACTTGTGTTATTGTGGGCAGCTTGGGTAGGCCATGTATGTAAGGGGGGTGTCATTATTTAAAAATTGGATATACTGTCAAAAGGTTTTTTAAGGGCCTTCTGGGACCCTCCCCCTCTTACCATCTCACCTGTTAATCCCAATTATCTCTTCTAATTAGAATGGACCACCCATGCGGGTGACCATTCTAATTAGAAGAGATAATATAAAAAGCCCTATGCTGCAATAAAGGGGGCTATAAAACTGCAATATCTCTGGGACCCCAGGCTCTAAGTCAATTCATATATTATCGCACAAGGTCAGTGTGACATTTTGTGACTGGTAGAACAATAATCTTATATTGAGCACTATAACCCCTGTCCTGCGTGTTATACAGGTTTACCCTAACAATAAGAAGATGTGATACTGGTATGTGACAGTGGTATGTGACGTGACATCCCAGGTTTCTCATATATGTCCATATTATACTATACATATTGATGATCAATAGCTGGTTTCAACTCTGTATACTTCTGCTGTATCATATGAGGTCACAGGCATGACATGTCTCCGAAAAAGGAATTTTTTGCAGTTCAACAGTGGAATCATCAGAGAATGTCACATATCGTCACAAAATCAAAGTTGTGTATTGTGACTATATAAACAACTTTCATTAAGTAACATATAGTGGCAGCTCAATAAATGTGTTAGCACTGACCCATCACTAATTCATATATAACTGATGGACCTCTATCTTCATAGCTGCTTAAGCTAAAAGCATAAATTGAGAACTAGCAGGAAGGGTCTCAAAAGGACCATCGATTGATCAGGTATTTTGATTACCATCATATGATAGGATTCCCATATTGACTATTCAGTTATTGAAAAGAGCATGTTTGGTACTTTAAAAATGTAAGGTGGCCAATGTGTGAGTTTGGCTACTCCAACATAAGGCTCTGGTATGTATCCTCCTAAGTACCACTGAATGTGGCACCAAGAATGCAATGCATTCACTCATCAGTGGCCTTTGATCTCCATCACCTCTGAAAGATAAGCCCATATCTCCAGCTAGCCTTAGTGGATAAAGTTGGGAGAGGGTTCATTTGAAAGGTATATCATCCTACTATCCTTGAGCCCTATCAGCAATTTTGTTGTTATCATTGCCTTCATTTATTCACTGCCAAGAATGCCTAAATACTCAGTAGAGCAGTGTTTTGCTGATATCCTGGGACTACATGCATGGAATCTCATGATCCAAGTTGATCTGGAGCTATAGGATGGTCTACCACATTTTTACTTATTTGTGACCACACAGCAACTGTGAGGGTCAGTCAATTCCCTGAGACCTTAGGTGCCATATATTCTAGGATAGAGATAAGCTAACAGGGTGAGGGCACCATTTTCTGGGAGGTGCATAATACCCCTACCTGTAGATGTACTCAAATCAATGAGATTCACAAAGGCTATACTATGGTGAACTCATCATTTTTGGGATAGATAACACTGATAATGGTACTGTGAGAGATCCACAATAGCTATGAGGTTAATTCAAGTGCTGAACAGGCTCATTTAGGGGTCCATACAATCCTACATTCATGTCCTAGATCATACTTGAAATTAATTTCTGACCAGTTGTAATAGCGAAGACACTCTCTTTTGCTCTGTGGGTACCTACCCTCTCTTCAGCTACCCTCTGTAACACTTGCCAGAACCATAATAGATTATAGTATGGGGTCCTACTAGACATCCAAATATCCTCATACATGCATCTCACTGTCCAGTACTTAGTCTATAGACCCCACCATTCATGTAAACTAGTTCTGCACTCAACTCATCTTGGAATGTTTATCCCAATGCATCCTCTGAGACTATATAGAGATCAATCCGAGTATGTAGATAGATTTATACACATCATTTGCCAACTTTCACATATTTGATCTATAATCAACTAGCAGATTACAGTTGTATTGCTAATATGATGTGCAGTACTATTCATTATTAGAATGGGGAATAACAAGATTTTTCATGCATATAATGTGGTGTCAAAACTGCAATCTTATAGGGGGACCCCTTCTCATGCTTGCTACCCTTATTCCATAGGGGATCCCTCACTTCTAATTCAGTTATTGGGAGATTGGTGTGTTAGGATATATGTCATATATGGAGGTAAATATGATATCTAAAATTATAGGGAGCTCCCAGATCTATGATGGCCATCTATTACAACAGAGCACAGCTTGCATTAGGCTTATCCATGGATTTTCCAGTGAGATATCAAGTGATCATTGAGTCTGATCAAATTTGAAACATGAAAACTAGAGAAAAACAGTGTAATATCATAGTCACAAGATATAGGACCATGATTACATCAGAACATATGAGCACTAGGTTATGAGCTACCTACCAGTACAAGGATCATCTGACTTGATGCAGGATTGGTGGAGATATTGCAGCATCAATGTAGGTGATGAATCATCATGAGATGATATAGCTATACTAATAACATTTGATTGTCCAGGATATCGATCTTATCATTTATGCACCCTTGGTAGTGCTCTAATCACCTTGATAGATTATCCACTTAGTGATATATCACTGTATTTGTTATAGATCAGCCAATCACTGGCCAATCCCACCACAATTATTCCGCTGCAACTATAGGTCATTTTATGAAAGTTGTTTGTATAGTCAAAATATACAACTTTGATTTTGTGACGATCTGTGACATCCTCAGATGATCATACAGTCAAACAGCGAAAATTTCCCTTTTGGGAAATTCATCACACAAGGTCACTTATTATTATTCATCAGAATACACTTATATGATAGCTTCTTTGTAATGTGACATACCAGTGTCACATCTTATTGTCTCAGTAAACCTGGCAGTTCATAGTGGGTACCAGGCTACACAGGTGTTATTATTACTAATATAAGATCACCATCAATAGTATCATGCCAGTCACAAATGTCACAAAATGTCACACTGACCTTGTGCGATAACATATGAATTGACTTAGAGCCTGGGGTCCCAGAGATATTGCAGTTTTATAGCCCCCTTTATTGCAGCATAGGGCTTTTTATATTATCTCTTCTAATTAGAATGGTCACCCGCATGGGTGGTCCATTCTAATTAGAAGAGATAATTGGGATTAACTGGTGTATGAGGGACGCACAACCACCATACTCCTCAACACTCCCCCATTCTTCTAACCCCTTCCCTTCACCCCTGCGGGCCCTACGCAGCGCCCATCCGATCCGCCCTGGGACCTAGCGCCCATCCCATCCATCCCTAATATCTTAGCGTATAAAAACCGTACTTACAGGATGTAGTTGCTAGGCTAATATCGTCTATTCTCCGTGCTTAAATTAAAACCCATCTTCGTGCTCCTCAGACCCGCTCAAAGTCGGACCACCCGACGATCCAATACGGCCCGAGCCCGACGCTGACAGATACTGTGTTTAATTTCCTGTAGGTATGGGCTATTTTGTAATAAGAAATTCAGACATAGTACTCTGAATTAACTTTTAGCCATGTTTTACAGATTATCAAATGGAAATAAATTAATTTAGCTTACATGACAGGAGTGCTGGGATACAGACAAATATATCATCTGGGTTCGGGATTTCCAGCTGTAATCAAGTCATTATTCAAGTCTATTGTAATCTTTAGAGGTCTTTCAGAAAGACCTTGGTTGAAAGACCTAGTTTCTTTCAGGTTGTTTTGGTCTTCAACTGTTTTGGTCTTCAACCAAGACCAAAGAGACCTTACTAATAGATACAACCATAAAATGATTGAGACCTTAGACGGTTCCTGGCTCGGATTCTTCCAGTTGGCTATGGCCCGGTTAGCTGGATCGGATGATATCGGGTGAAAATGAAATCAACGGTAAAAAGAGTGTACGACGCACCAATGGCCGCGTATATATTCTCGATTCGTTCCTCGTTCAGGAAAGCTTCCGTCTTCGGAGCTCATCTTGCGGGGAGAAGCCAGGTTGACGTAAAGCCTTCTTGGTCAGTAAAAAAATAAACTTCCTTTCTCGCCGGCCGAGGCAGTTGAGACGGGCACCATTAGATACCGCCTGTGGCCTACATCGCCCCTACACAACGATCGGGCCAGCTATCCTTCAGTAAACCGCGCAAAAAGCGATTTTTTTGCGGCACACGACCATGCTAACGGAATGATCGGTTTTACATTGCGTGATACGATTCTCACACCCACTTGATTGACAGGGCAGCGTGGTGCATAGAAAAGGCTTCTCGCTGCCCCTTGCTCTTCCCACTAACCCACCTTCGCTCGGAGGTTACCGCCCCTGCTATCGCCCACCCATCGCCCCGCTGTTGGACGACTGGACGCAGCCATGGCCGCCAGTACTAGCTCTCCGACCGCCCGGAAGACGGAGGAGGATGCGCCCTCGATCCATACCCATCGCTCCGCTGCCCTTGAAGGGGTCGATTCGGGAGAACGACCCCCGTGGATGTTGTCGTTCATCGAAGGTGGCTCTTATCCAGTCTTTTTTCTCACTGCTGACCAGCGTTTTTTCGTGATCAGTCAAGCTCCTCGGCATTGCTGGAGTGTGTCGTCTTTCCTCTCTGATAGGTTTTTACCACCGAGCTCATCCACTGTACAGGTCGGCTTCTTCCTTGATGGTGCGCTTTCCCTTTTTTTCCGATAAACACGGCTGACCAGCGTCCGCTCCAGCATACGATCTTTTCGTGATCAACGTCCGTCCTTTTCTTTCCACTTGTTCTTGGCATTCGAGATCCGACGCGCTCCACAGCCCGTATCCACAATGCTACAATACCGCCTCTATGGCGGGCATTCACTTCCCGCCGGCTTACAAGGCTTCCTCAAGGCTGGCGCCAACATCGGCAGTGTCATCGGACAATTCGCTTTTGGTGTGTTTTGTTGCAGTCGCCTCTTGTTTGAGGATACTTACAGTGAGGCAGGATACATGGCGGACGCTTATGGCAGGAAGGCTATATGTGGGTTAACCCTCTGTGTTTGTGGAGTGACTGACAATGTCCGCAGATGGAAAAGAATTAATGCTAATCATCCTCGCGACGATCCTCTGCCTCACCACGCCCACGGGAACCCTCAGTCCCGACCACTGTCTCATCTATCTCGCCATGTTCCGCATTCTGCTTGGCATCGGTGTTGGTGGTGGTCCGTGTCTTTGTTTCTATGTAAAGGCCTTTGTTGACACACTCCAGACTATCCCATGAGTGCATCCATCACAACTGACCGTGCTGTCCTTCGCAAACGCGGTACTATGCTAGCGTATATCTTCTCCAACCAAGGCTGGGGCTCATTCTTCGGGTCGTTGGTCACAATCATCGTGCTTCTTGCGTATAAGCATGTCATGGACGACGAGGGCAAAACAAGCAAAGTTGACGGCGGTTCGTTGTCATATTTCATTCGTTTCTCGTGTCGCTGATTGCAAATAGTGTGGCGCATAGTCGTCGGCGTATCTCTTGTTCCTGCGTTTGGCACGCTCTACCAACGCTTGACGCTCCCTGAATCCACGCGGTTTATCGCGTCGCAGGACAGAAGCCAGGACATCATGGAGCTCAAACGGGCCCAAGCGCAAGAGCTTGGTCTAGAGAAGGGAGACGAAAGTTCCAGCGACGACAAAGTCTCGACTGGCGATTCCGTTGTTGGTGGAGTAAAGAAAGAAGCCCATTTCCGCGGTCTGTCGTCTCCATTTTCTTATCGACCGGGGAGGATGCTGAGCACGCTGTAGAGTTTTTGGTCTACTTCTCCGAATGGCGCCATGGAAAGATCCTCCTTGGCACTGCGATGTGCTGGTTCCTACTCGATATTGCGTGTGTTATCTCCTCCCTCCGTCTGTTCTGTCGCTCACAGTCTCAGATTTTATGGTATCAACCTCAACCAAAACGTTGTCTTGGAGCAAATCGGCTTTGCGGGCAAGACGGGCTCCGATTGGGAGAAGCTGTTCAAGGTCTCGACGGGTAACATGATTATTACCGCCTTGGGCTTTGTCCCTGGTGAGTCTTATCCACTCCCAGTCTCATGAAACCGTGAACTTACTGAAGTTTGTCAGGCTACTATGCGTCCATTCTGACCATCGAAAGACTCGGACGCAAGTGGATCCAGATACAGGGTTTTCTTATGGCCGCGCTGTTCCGTGAGTGTTGCTGAATACCCTATGTCCGAACTGAGTAACTGTTAACAGTCGCAATCCTTGCCGCGAAGTTCCATACACTAAGTAAAGCGGGCTTCATCATCTGCTTTACCTTCCTCCAATTCTTCTTCAACTTCGGCGCCAACACGACTACCTATGTGAGGCACCATTTGTCTATCGTCTTTGCTGCCGCTTAACGCTGTGTATAGTGCTACCCCGCAGAGGTCTTCCCGACGAGATTCCGCGCGTCGGCCCATGGCCTCTCTGCCGCTGCGGGTAAAGCCGGCGCGATCGTCAGCGCCTTGGCCTTTAACGAGTTAAGCCAGAAGATTGGCACGGACAAGGTGCTATGGAGTACGGCGTTTTTTCTCCTCTCGATGCATTTATACTGATACCTCGTAGTATTCTTTGCGACGTGTATCGCTGGCGCGGGCTTCACCCTCCTGCTGCCTGAAGTGCGCGGACGTGACCCCGATTTGGTCTTGGCCGAAGAAATCAAGGCGGCGAAGGCTGCTGCGAGGATATGAAGCATGGAAGGGGAACGCTGAGAAGAACTAGAACAAGGAAAGAATGTAAAAGAGCAGATCTCTAGTGAAAGCTGTTTGTATACGACGCAAATGAAAATGACGCCCAAATGTAATTTGTGACTAGGTGACTTGAAAGATGCGAAACAGCAGAATGAAAATTGTGTTATTCAATGAATGAGTGACGATGGTACAAAAGCACATAGGTAAAGTCCGGTATCAGTCCTTGAGCAGTCCGTTTTCTCTTCTCTTGATGTTCCTGCCGAATCCTGCGCTTCTCCCTCCTCCTAACCTCTCATACTGGTACCAGCTCCGACTCGCACGCCCTGTTGGTTTCTTCCTGCGGTGGGAGCCCGACAGACCGTTGCTTCCATGCTGCAGGAATAAGGTCTATGCTCATGAAAGCCGCATACAGTATCATTGACACAACACCAAGCACGAAGCGCTGCCGTTTGCACTGTGCAAGGTCTCCCGGGCCGACCGTGCCAGTGCATGTCGGGACGAGGGTAAGGGTGACGATCAAGGCCAGAAATATGGTCGCGTGGCAGAGGGTGAGGATGGATGGCGGGGAGCAGCAAGTGCGCTGCTTCTGACTCGGACTCAGAGTCTCACTGGGCTGTGCGTCGGCGGCTGGAACGGCGAACTGGTCTTCAGGCAGGTACATGCCGGCGGCGGAGCAGTAGCGCATTCCGATGTAGCCGTGGGGCTGTTCGTTAGGGCGTGAGTCCATCTGACTGTGGGAGGGACTGTGTTTGCGTTGTAGCGGGGGGGGCAAGGGGGGGGGTCTCAAAACCACCGAGAAGACGTCGACGGAGGGGGATTTTATGCCCGGCACTCAGTTTTGAGGCCGTATGGGCTTTATTATTATTATTATTATTATTATTATACGGTAAGCGGGTGTGGGTGCGGGCAGTGCAACGAGTACAAGCGTCTACCAGGCCATTCTATTGCTGAAGGTCTCCCGGCGACGCAAGAGAACAACATCGCTGAAAGCAGAAGAAGGGACTGATGATGAGGTATACCGTATAAAAACTCGTGAGTCAGCGGTGATGCCTATCTAACATGCGGCGATATTTTCTTATTTTCTTTCTTGCGACCCGGACAGCTTTTCTGTGACGGCGAGTTCGACTTGAAGTGCTTCTGGCCGAGAGTCTGCAATTTATACTGAAAGTTACCATAAATGCACAGCGAGCAACTTGAATCCACGACCTAACGAAAAATGACTTTTGGACTCTTTTGGATCATCGTGACACGGTCACCTCTTCACTTCCTCTCGATGGTGATGGCCCATGATCTGCTCACAGGATCCACTGGTCATTCTAGACCTCGGCCTCATGGATTCGCGTCGCTCGAGTAGCCTGAGGGAGACAGACAACTCAGACAACCATCTGTCCTGTCAGCCTGAGGCAGTTGTCAGCAGGCAAGCTCACTCAGCGGGCTGGCTCACTCATCGTCGCCGCTGAGAAATCTCTCTGCGCATCCTTTTTGCAGGCGACAAGACTGAGGATAAAAGCCGCCAGCGCACTCGGATGCCACCCAGGTCAAAACCTTCCTTCACCAATAAGTACTGTATCTGAATTTGCGAAGAAATGACCACCCAACTCCCGACTTTTACTGCTGCCTCGACTGCCGATGAGGTTGCAGAGGCACTAGCCAGCGAATTACGGGGCAAGAATGGTGAGTACCATTGCTTCTCAAACAGATCCTCACGATTGAACGCCTATTGCAGTGCTCGTTACCGGGACGTCTGTGGGGGGTATCGGCTTCGAGACCGCGCGTGCGATTGCCAAGTATGCGGCGCTCGTGGTTATCACTGGTTACAACACAGAGAGGTCAGTAATACTTAAGATCTTACTAATATTCTTAGCAATCGTCCCTCCAGATTACGTCTGTCGAAAGAGGCGATCGAGAAGGAATTCCCCGCCACCCAAGTCCGCACGCTGCAGCTCGATCTCTCCTCGCTGGGAGCCGTGCGCAAAGCAGCCGCGGAGGTGAACGCATATGCCGAGCCGCTGCATGTAAGATTCCACGCATTTGTCTGACCGCGGCGTGACATCCTGACTTTCGTTTCCAGGTCCTCATCAATAACGCAGCCGCCACCGAAACTGTGCACGGCCTCACCAGCGACAACCTCGAGATCCAGATGGCCGCGGGACACATCGCGCCGTTCCTCTTCACCAAGCTGGTATATCCGAAGCTATGCGCGGCGAAAACAAGCGGTTGGACGCCGCGCGTTGTCTTTGTCTCGTCCGTCCAGCATGCCGCTGGCGAAGGTGTACCGCTGGACAAGGAGGAGTTCGCACGCGGACAGGGCGGCCCGGACCCGGACCCCGCGGTCCGCATGTTTGCGCGCTACGGCGCGGTGAAGAGCGCGAACGTCTTGACGGCACGGGAGATGGCGCGGCGTGGTGGACGCAATGTCAAAGCATACAGCTTGCACCCTGGCGGTGAGTGCCCTACTTCAAGTTTTCACAGTGGCCTGAGTGTGCTTATCGTTGCACGAGCCATCGTCACGAATGCGTTCAGCAAGGGGTTCAAGGCGGCGCTCGAGCAGTTCGGAATTATCGACAGCGAAGGGAAGCCGGGTAACGTGTTCTCCTTCAAGAGCCTTCCGCAAGGCGCAGCAACGTACGTATTCCACTAAAACAGTCAATGTGCTAAATCAAGAGTATAGGACCGTCGTGGCAGCATTCGATCCTCGTATTGCCGGTGCGTGTCCCTCCCAATCACAAGCCGAGAGCTCATTCCTTTGTAGACCATTCTGGGGCCTACCTCGAAGACGGCGTGCTCGCAGAGCAGAACGTGGCAGCACACAGTGCTGATATGGTCCGTTGTTCCTCGCATTTCTGCACGATATCGCTCATGGCCCGTGTAGCAACGAGCCGGGAAGCTGTGGGCGCTTACAGAGGACGTCATCGGAGAGAAGTTTGAATTGTAGACTAGAGTCTAGACGTTCGAGTGGGTATATAGATAGAGATTCATCATCATTGACTCGAAACACCAAGAGCCGCAGCAAGCAGCCGGTCAAAATTGGGTGTGCCGAGACCCTGCTATGTGTCAGCGGCGCTGCCTGCCCCAATATTGCGACTGACCGTTACCGGATCCCAGCCCTCCTTGGCCGTGAACCCGTCCGTCCCACACCCGGGGTTATTGCCTGCGCAGTGGTTAGCAACTAAACCTGTGCACAACACACGAAGCGCTCACCAGTCGTCACATCCGTGAGCGCCGCCCGCCCTGCCGGGCTGTAGAGGAAGGGATTCAGGAAGCCAAGCACGGGCTTCCCCGCTGCGATCAGGCGGTCGTTCACCAGCGCGATAATGGACGCGACGATGGGCGCGGAGCCCGACGTGCCCCACACGCGCCAGAGGCTGCCCACTAGATCACGGCCCCCGTCAGCGGGAGCATGAGCGCGAAGGACAACGCACTGAAGCCGATTTCGAGCCGTTCGGCCTGCGCGGAGATATCCGGCATCCCGCGGCCCGACCGGTTGTACAGCCCGGCGTATTGGTCGCCGAGCCCGGCGAGGTATGCCTCGACATCCGCGCGCTGGTAGTCCGGCGTTCTGTAGTCAAGCAGATGAGTGAGCGGTCGGGACAAAAAGTCTGGCACCCACTCGAAATGATTCGAAAACCCGCCGCCGGAGATCTCCGAGGCCCGCTGGGGCGGGAGACCGCCGGTGCCGCCGACGGACGTGACGAATGGGCATCCGCCGGGCGCACTGGGCCAGAATTCGGTGCACTCGGAGGGCTGGATACCGCCGACTCCGCCTGACTGCGCATCAGCACAACCCAGCAGCAAAAAAGAATCTCACCGTCGCCGGATGCAAACAACACCGATATGCCGGCGGCACCCAGTTGCATATACGCATTACACATCGCGCTACATTGGGGCGTAAGCTGCGACTGACCATGATTTGGGACAACATACATGTTGATATCGACGGTCAGCTCCGGCTCATTGAACCCGTAACTAGTGGTCAAAACCGTGGGCCGTGTCTCCTGAGGCAGGGAGAGGATGTAATTGGTGATGTCCTGTAACGTTGAAACAGCGCGGCGGATGCATGCAGGTGGAAACTCACAATGAAGCCGGCAACATCGTCCTGGACCTCCTCGCCTACAGAGATAAACTAAAAGTGCTTGATCAAAGGATACGCGAAAAGCATCGCTAGCCTTACGGTGACAGGAACACTGCCAGCAATGCCAACCGTGTAATCGAGGTCCAGGGCGGCCTCTATACCTGAACTCCTGTCCAAAGACATTGAATGACAGGGGTGTATCTTGAGTAAGTAAACGTACCCTTCGTCCTGTGGGTTCTTCCCCCCATAAATAAGGCTGGTGGTAAATGTCGTTCCGACGAATGCAGGGCTGTCTCTCTCGAGGAAGAAGGCCAAGTCCGCCTCGTTAGCATATTGCTGCAGCGAATCAGCACCCGTCAGCCGATAAACCGCGGACACGCACATCAATATACCCTGGAACGCCGATGACGTTTCCTGCGGCGCTGTTATTCGCTTTAGTCGTCGGTATCCCGTAGAGCTCCTGGATACAAGTCTATCCCACTGTCAGGTCAGCACCAAACCTGACCAACAAGACACACGCACCGGGTTCATAATACTCTCGCAGCTAGCGGGCACTTCGCGTCCCTGCAGCTGGACCAATTCTTCGCGCTTGCTCTCGGGGACATAGTTGACGGCGGCGACGCCCGGCATGCGTCTGAGCGGGGGCACGAACGCGACAGTCGGATGGATGAATTTGATCTGCGTCTGCAGTTCCGTCGGGACCGAGTATTTCATGGTCCGCACGCTCTTCCTTCCACTCGCGACATGGGTGAACTGGACGAAGTCGGCAGCGAGCAGGGTGTTGGCGGTCTTGACGGGGACGGTGAATTGGAGGACGTCGCCAGCGAGAGAGACGGACTTGGAGGCAATGCCGTGCGAGTCGAGCCAACCCTTGACGGAGGAGAGCGTCTCTGCCGTTGGCTTGACGTATTCCGCGATCTAGGTTGGCTGTGTCAGCGCATACTACTAGCATGGAACTGAATGAGAAACGCACCTTTTCGGGTGTGAGGTGCTTGCCATAGTTCGCGCTGGCGGGGTTGGAGACGTCGTACGTGGCCTTCTCCAGCCCAGCAGTATCGGTATGCGCGAGCGCAATGCGGAGCGTAACAGTCTGAGAAGCGGGCACGGATCCCGCGTGGGCGAATCCGTTGGGGACCGCCTTCACGGTCTCGTGCACGGACATGGCGCGGCCAGCCAGCGGGCTGACCGCGGCGGAAGCGACCACTAGATAAGCGGCAAGGGTGACGAGGGGGAGAAGACGCATTGAGAGGACAGTCGCACAACAATGTCAAACGCGTGCGCTTGGGTATTTATCGGGGACCTCGGTCGAGGTCGTCGGGAAGGCACGAATACCCGGACAGAGCAGATCCATAGACCATGAGGTGTGAGTGCTGCGGAGATGATGGCGGGGGATGAAGCCCGCAGCCGGCGATGTGCGCGGCGCGAAAGGCAACCAACAAGGAGAGGTTTCCACGCATGTCGTTTCCGTCGCAGTCCGCTGAAGTATGCGTAGTGTGCCTTTTGCGCGGTCTGTGCAACCTGCGTACGTGGGTCGGGTCACGGAAAGTGTCGCTCGATACTGCACAGTGCAAAGTTCATCCCCCCGTAGTGGCGAAGGTATGGAAAACATGTCACCTAAACGTATGACATGAGGGGAGAAAGCAAAAAACTGCATTACGTGAGCATGAGAAATGGGCATGACATAATTCCATAGAGTTAGTGAGCGACAATAGTAAGTATGGATACAAGGCATATACATATGTTAGTCCGATCTCGAGTCGAGTCCTTGAGAGCCTTTGTCTACTTCAAATCAGAGTCCGAACCTCTCGATTCAACTTCCTTCACCCCCGGCCCGGCGTGCAGGGCGAGTCCTTTCACACCGGCACTCGATCCGACTGCCTTCGCTGCGACTCCGGGTCGAGATCGTCCCAACTTGAAATGCTGAGCATGAATCGCGTATAGCAGTGCAGACCGGTGAACAGAGGCACTAGCCCCACCAGCCCGATGACGACCTGGAGTTCATACAGCACATTGCAGCGCGCCTCCGACTCTGGCGTGATGTTCTCCGAGCATTTGAAGCGCACGATGAAGTGGAACACGAGGAGGGCGATGATGAAGTAAACCACCGGTGGGCAGTAGTAGATACATTTGCCCGTGAACACGACGGCGGCCCATACCCTCCTGTGCGCGTTTCTGTGCCAGGGGATCACGGTGACGTCGACTTTCTCCTCCGAGGTCGGGTCGGCCGGGGGGGCACGGGGCGTATTGCACGGAGAGCTGTGTCGGTGGCCGGAAGGTATTCATTATATCGGCGGAATAGGATGAGTGAGTGAGTGTGTGGTGGTGCAGTGGTGGAAGTAACGAACCCCACATTCACAAAGAAAGTCGATGAGGTATTCTTATACAACAAAGGTGTGTGTCCAGCCAGCGCAACGAGTACAAGCGTTGCCAGAGTCCTTGTAGTTCTGAAGGTAGCCCAACGACGCAAGAGAACAAGTCATCACCGAAAAGAGAAGAAGGGAAAAAATGATGTCAGCACGATCATTGTCAGTCAGATGATGTGACGTGTCACTCGTTCTTCTGGCTTTGGCCTCGATGTCGCAGCGTAAGCCCTCGGAAATTGTGGAGATGGTGCTTGGCGAGAGCTAAGACAACTGGTGCGCCTCGAACATGCTAAATTCAGGTTCTCTCCCACTCACTCACTGGTCCGCTGCAGATAATACCAGCCTGGCCCTCTCGCAGTATACTACTTAGGTGGACTGCTCCGAGTGGACTTGCTCCCTTTGCATGTGTACCGAGAGCATATCAGTCGCTGCCGAACACTACTTCACCCTTTCGCGACCACCATCTTCCAGGATCTAATTTTCACCAGAGTGACCAGACAAGCATCTTTCGCAATTCGCATGCAGCGGCGAAGCTGGCATGGCATGGCAGCTGCCAGCATTTGTTCCTGGAATGTGAAGGTGGTGAGTGAGTTTACCACGTCAAGCTGCGTCTATTTATGCCCATGTAGGATGGCCTCACACACAGTCGACGCAATCCAGCCATGCGCTTCGCTACCCTCCTCTTCACCGCTGTTCTTGCCATCCGGGAAGTTGTTGCCCTCCCGGCCGCCAACCACCTCACCCCGGTGAACCTCCGCATCGAGGGCGCGGACAAGACCATCTTTGAAGGCATCGTACTCACCAAGGGGCACAACGTGACGACCGTCTCTGGCGGGACACACCACTGCGACGGCACAAATAACGGCGAAAACGTGCTCCCGGGTCCGACATGCACGAGTGCGCTGGACGATGCGGCGAAGAAAGAGGGCTTTGCTTGGGACGGGTGCGTATCACGCTATTCAAGTTCTCATTGCCAAAAACTGACTCGTTCGAAAAAAGCACGTTCTTCCCAGAATTCGACGACTACTTCATCACCTCCATCGCGACCTCTCCCGAAACAGCCACCCAGTTCTGGGGCATCCTCATCAACTTCCAGTTCACGCCCGTCGGCGGGTGCCAACAGGAGATCACACACCCGCTGACGGATAAAGTGCTCTGGGCCTTCGACGCGTTCAACGCCGCGCATTTCCTTTCGCTCGCCGGGCCGCTCGTTGCCAAGAAGGGCGTGCCGACGACGTTCTTGGTGACAGACGGGAGCACCGGCGCGGCCGTCGCGGGTGCTGCGGTCGATGCGAGCGGCGCGAGTAGTGGCGCGGACGGGAAAGTTGTGGTGACCTTCGGTAAAGCCGGGCTGCATAGTCTAAAGGCGACGCTCGAGGGGTCGGTGAGGTCGAATAAGGTGGATGTCTTGGTCCACAACTGACACCGCGTAACTTGCTGTTCTCAATGTACAAATGAGTGCTAACAGGCAAATTCCTATCTGGAACCTTGTTACAAGATTCAATCGGAATGAGTGACAATATTAAGTATAGATAACGCATACTAGACAGAGCTGGGGCTATGCCTAAGGCTCCAACCAAATACTCAATATATTGAGTTATAACGCAATACAATCCATATATATACAGGGTGGCAAATTTTTTGTAGTATAGAGTATATACTGTATAGATACTCTATACTATTGAATCTGTGGGTTATACAAGGTGTTATCAAGTCAAATTCTTTTAGATACGGTATTTTCTAGAGTGGGCCATTTTGGTAAGCAGAACTGGCAATGCGGGGTAAACTAAATACAAGGTTAAGGTGCCAGAATTCACACTCATGTAAGGGCAACCCCGGAGGCCTGAGATCAAGGTCTAGCAGGGGAGGATCCAAAGCGTGAACATTGGTAAGCAAATACAAATGAAGCTGACCTAGCAGGGGAGGATCCAAAGAGAAGAAACTCTAAGGGTCCGCCTGCTAGGGAGCTGACTATATACTGCTTGTCCGTAGCTGCCGCTGTCGGGCACAGAAGGCTTGGGCGGCGTCGCAGGCAAGGTCCCAGGGCGACCGTTGAGAGGGCGTTGACGGATCGGTGATTGTGCGGGCGAGATGGAGGGCCGGACCGGAGACGGAACCGGAGTCGGACCGGAGTCGGAGGCGTCTCCGAGGGGCCAAAAGGGAGGTTCCCCTGACATCACCCCCCCCTTTGAATGCGGCGTCCCGACGCATAGACCGGAACGGAATCGAGTCGAAGGTCGCGGAGGCGATGTGTCGTGGTTTGCCAGGGTACTTACGGTAGAACTCCGCGATTTTCTCCGGGGCGAGGACGCGGTCGAAGCGGACCCACTGGTCGTGCGACGCGTCGTAGCCTTTCCATCTGACGAAGTAATTCAGCCGTTTATACCTCACCCTTGCGTCCAAGATTTCCTCTACTTCCCACTCCGGGACTCCGTCCTCGAGGTCCGGAGGGGGCTGGTCGTAGCCGGGGCGTCCGTCGAAGGGGTCGTCCTGGGCGAGCTTGAGCTTGACGACGGGGAAGACCGGGTGGAGCTTCGAGTAGCGCGGAGGAAGGTCGAGCTTGTAGGCACCTTTGCTGATCTCCGCGACTATCTTGAACGGTCCAAGGCGGCGATGGGAGAACTTTTCCGAGGGGCGAGTCGTCCTGATGTCAGAGGCATCTAGCCAAACACGGTCGCCAACCTTAAACTCCGGAGACGGAGTGCGTCTCCGGTCGTAGTAGCGCTTGTACTCCTCTTTGGCCTTAGTGAGCGCGGCCTTGGCTTCAGCAACACCAGTGGCGATCCGGTTGCGGAACTCATTCACAGACTCCATAGCGGAACGGACTCCGGGTTGAAGCCCATGCGCCGGAAGCCGTCCCGTGTCCGTCATGAAGGGGACTTGCTGCGTGGAGGAGTGAACATGGTTGTTGTAAGCGAACTCCGCGGCCGGAATCAACTCATCCCAGTCGTCCTGCTGATAGTTGGTGAAGATCCGCAGGTATTGCTCCAACTCCTGGTTGACGCGCTCTGTCTGACCGTCCGTCTGTGGATGATACGCGGTGGGACGTGGCTGGCTTGATGCCGATTAGACTCCAGAGTTCTCGGGTGAAGTCCGCGATGAACTGTGAGCCACGGTCGGAGACGTACTTCTCCGGAGTCCCGTGATGGCGCCAGACATTCCGGTAGTAGAGGCGGGCTGCTCCTACTGCGTCGACGGTGGTGTGACACTCGGAGAAGTGGGCTCGCTTCCCGAGGGTGTCCACGACGACCATAATTGCGTCGTACCCATGGGCCTCGGGGAGCTCGACGATGAAGTCGACGGAGACGGTATGCCAGCGCCGGGGCGTTTCCGTCGGGTGTAGCTCTCCGTGGGGCAGTCTCCGGAGCGCCTTGGTGCGACAGCACAAGTCGCAGGTCGCGACATACCGGCCGATATGGCGAGACATCTGAGGCCACCAGTAGTTCCGAGAGACCAACTCCAGGGTCTTGAAGCGACCAGCGTGTCCAGCGACTCGAGTCTCATGGCAGAGCTCGATGATGCGCCTCCGGAGGTCCTTGTCCTTGGGTACGACAATCTTCCCACAAAAGTGAAGAAGACCACCGGAGATGGCCCACTCGTCGGAGCGTGAGGAGGGGGGGCCTCGAGCTTGACCTTGGACCTTTAGGAGTTGCCGGGCCGCTAGTGCGACGGGCTCCTCCAGGTCAGGCTCACCGGAGAGGGCATCACGGATGTCGCGAAGAAGTCCAGAACCAGGGCCGGAAACGGAAACACCCTCGAGTGCGCGGACGTGGAAGAGTTCAGGCCGCAGAAGGACGACATCGGAGTTGTCGGAATCGACTCCGTGGTCGGGTCTCCGGGAGAGGGCGTCAGGTCGACCCATGTCGCGGCCAGGCTTGTGGTGCAGCGTGAAATCGAACCGGGAGAGGTACAGGGACCACCGGGCCTGTCTCCGGTTGAGGTGCTGCATCTTCCTGAAGTACTCCAAATTCTTATGGTCAGTCCAAATCTCGACAGGGTGTGCGGCGCCCTCGAGGAAGTGTCTATACTCCTCGAGTGCGCGGATGATCGTGAGCATCTCCTTGTCGTGGATTTCGTAGTTGCGCTGGACATCATTTAAGCTTTTGGAATAGAATGCTACAGGGTGCCACTTCCCGTCCGGGGCGGATTGTGAAAGAACCGCCCCCGTCGCATAATCAGAGCTGTCCGCCTCGAGTCGGAAAGGCCGTGCGTCGTCCGGAATCGCCAGGACCGGTTCCGAGGTGACCGCGTCCTTGATCGCTTGGAACGCGGAGGCCTCCGCATCGCCCCAAGTCCATTGCTGGTCCTTCTTGGTGAGCGCAAAGAGAGGACGCGCGAGGGCCGAGAAGTCCCGAATGAACCTGCGGTAGAAATTAGCGAACCCAAGGAACTGCTGAACGTCCTTCTTGTTGTCCGGAGTCGGCCAAGCGGAGATGCCTGCGACCTTGACGGGGTCCATTTCGATGTGGTTGTGGGAGATGATGACTCCGAGGTATTCGATTGACGATTTTTCGAAGTCGCACTTCTCCGCTCGGAGGTACAACTTATGCTCCCGGAGTCGGCGTAAGACCTCCTGGACGATCTGTCGATGTTTCCGGAGGTCGGAATGGGCGATCAGGATGTCGTCCAGGTAGATCATGACGTCTCCAGAAAGGATGAGGTCCTGGAAAATGTCATTCATCATCGTTTGGAACGTCGCGGGAGAGTTTGTCAGGCCGAAATACATCACCAAGGGCTCGAACAGGCCTCGGTTAGTCCGGAAAGCTGCCTTCCACTCGTCACCTTCTTTGATCCGGACGTTGTTGAAGCCCCAACGAACATCAAGTTTGGTGAAGTAGCGAGCGCCTTTGAGCCGGTTGATGAGGTCGTTGATCAGCGGAAGGGGGTACCGGTTTTTGACAGTCATCGCGTTGAGAGCACGGTAGTCCTGGACGAAGCGGAGTCCGCCGTCCTTCTTCTTGACGAAGAAGACCGGAGACGCCATCGGAGACTTGGAGGGGCGAATCCGGCCTGTCGAAAGCCCTTCCTCGATGAACGCGTCGAGCTCGCGTTGCTCAAGGGGTGAGATGGGGTACACCTTGCAGTTGGTCGGCTTAGCGTCGGGGACGAGTTCGATGGCGTGGTCCCAGGTTCTCCGTTCCGGGAGCGTGTCGAAAGACTCCTTGTTGAAGACGTCCTAGAACTCCTTAGCCCAGTCCGGGATCTCGGAGGGCGGAGGGGCGGAGTTCCTGGCGAAGGCTTCAGCCAGGCGTTGCGAGACAGTACTGCCAGCGCGTATCTCCTCCGAGGGGCGGAACGAGGTGTAGAAGATGCGGTCACCATCTTCAAGCTGACCATCGTCATCATCGTTGTCGGAGTCCGGCGTCAGATCAGGCAGGCCGGAGTCGTCACCGGAGACGGAATCGTCTCCGTCATCAGACCCAGAAAGGTCCATGGCGCAGACCGAGGGGAACGGGCCAGAGCGGAGTCGCTTCTGGAGCAGCCGGAGTCGCCGTAGCTCAGTCCGTTCAATGCGTTCTTCCTCGCGGCAAGTGGAGCAGCCGCGAGGGCACCGCGTCATCTTGACCTCCTTGGTTTCCCAATCGATCTCTGGGTTATGCTTCCGCAGCCAGGAGTACCCCAGGATGAGGTCTTGTTTACCAAGATGGGTGACGGCGAGTTGAACACGTTCGGCATGGCCCTTGTAGCGCAGGACCAAGTCCGCGATCTGTTTGATGGAGCCAGCGTTATTGGGGGTGCCATCGACATTGAAAACCGGAATCGGCTGATCAAGGGTGCGGACCGGAATGCCATTCCGAGCAACATAGTTCGTGTCAATGAAGTCGGAGGTGGCACCACAGTCGACAAGCCCAGAGAGTGAGAGCTTCAGCGCGCTGGTGGTGGACTCAAGCTCCAACGGGAGGTGGAGGGAGTTCGCCCCGGGGGCAGCGGCAACGGTGTACTGCTTGGGCAGTTTCTTTTCCCAGGCAGTGAGGCGGCGAAGGACGATGACCGGAGTCGTGGGCGGAGTCGGAGACGGAGTCGAAACGGGGGCGGGGGAGGGTATGTCTTTCGTTTCAGGCTCGTTGTAGGGCAAAGGAATTGATTCGTCATACAAACAAGCGAAACGATTTATGGACGCGAACGAGGGCACACCAGTCACTCGTCGCGGGGGACAAAATCCTCTCCGGCCATCGACTCCGCAGCCGTTTCCGGCAACGCGGCTGTGTCCGAGTAGCGGGCGATCAACTCCGCTAACATCTCGTCACCGAGTTGTTGGATCACCTCGTCGAGGATGTCCATTGAGCGGACGTCCGCGGGGAGGGGGCAATCCCGGGCGAGATGGTTTGGGCCGCCGCACCTGAAGCAGGTGCAACGAGGGGCACCCCAAGCCCTGGTGCAATCTAACTCCATAGCTACGGGAGCTGGAGGCGCCGGAGCGGA